CTGGGAGCGATACGATTGGTCGTAATGGTGCATCGTCTATATGTATTTTTGGAAGCCAGTAGAATTTTGCTATGTTCGGATGGCGGGCCATCATTCTAACACGGTCTTCCTTTGTGATATGGTTCCGTTCCTGGAGCAATTTCTACATTCTGTATATGCTGTTTGTCAGTTGCGTTGTTGGATTGTTTTTGATGCGGCGGTAGGTTGTTTTGTCACGCAAAGCTGTTTCGCTATTTTAACCTAATCCTCTTTATCCAATATAACCGTCCCGCGTCCCTTGTCCACAGGTAAAATGACAATTTATTCATCGGGTTTCAGGGTCTTTCTGCATCCCTTTCTCGTTGCGATAGGGAATTGTGCTGTTTGTTACGTGCTACGACTGGAATAACTGTATATCTTAGTTGTTTCTGCGTATCATTGTCAAACCCGCTACCAGTGCATCAAGCCCCGATGATATAGAGTCTGCATTGCTTTTATTCGCACATACTTTATGGGTAAATTGCAACCCGATAGCCTTGATTAAATCCCACGGCCAGTTGCTGCATGATAGAAATCAAAGGTAATCTACTGAGAAAAAGTTTCCCATTTATCTCCAGCCGCAAAGGAGATGTTGTGGCAATGCGAATGGAGCGACAACAACGCTAAAAACATCCAGTGCTATTAAACTATGTCCGATTTGGACAACCAGAAAATTTGCTAACACCAGCTGGTCTCTGCCACAATATTTTGCATTTACAACTTTTCTGTAGCTGAGGAGGCAGATCGGTGTTTGTGAAGGTGAATTGGATAGCAGATTTCGAAATAGGTTGCTGGAACTACGACGCAGCAAGCACAGGAACAGGTTTCAAACTCAGAAATATCACCCATATCAAGTGCTGAAGTCATATTTGACGCGGGTCGTCAGATTAACTCTGACATAGCGTTTACGGCTATCCGCCGTAATAGGAATGCCGAAATACTCAAGTATGTTGAGGTAATGGTTTTTAATCCCAATCTTTAAATAAATTCGGATGCAATCAATAACTTATGATTTCACTAATTCAGAGTGGCTACATCAACCTATCTCCATCCCACAGTGACATGTACCGACATGTGACGACCTCGTACCATAATCTCTCCATGTTAAACGTCTCACTAGATGACATTGACCGGTAGCTCGACTGCCCTCCTACTTATATCTCATTTAGCGTGATTATCCTTCAATTTACTATAACTGCTATACAAATCATTCATTGGTTCATTTGGCCTAACGAAGCCTGTTTTAAAAATAAATGGTGCTCACCAAATATACAAACTGGTCGTCCTCAATCCCTCCTGAAATCGTGGCAAAAATATTACTTGGCTTACCTAGAACGAACATGGACTGAGACCGATGACAGGGTAATATGAACGTACTTAAAAAGTGTTGCGGAAAATTCGCGTTATTGCTTAAATTACAGCACACACAAAGGACCGGGTTTAACTTGACGACCATGATGAAGAACTCAATACCGTGACGCAACAATCCTCATGAACTTAGTGATCGAGTTGTTATCGCTAAAGTTTCTTGCTGTGTGAATGTGTTCACTATGGTCTCTGTGTCTATTGCTGAGAATTGTGAGCTAGTTTTGCCGTTGCTCACCCATAACAGGGTGCTTCACTGTTCTGGGAAACAAAATCATTGCTACCCACATGGTAGCGAACGTAGTGTGTACTTAACATACGCAGTGTGCAAAGGATGCATGTTGTATGATACACTAAGCACTGGTCGGTAATTCACTTCAGCCGCAATCATCCTTTGAAGAGTGTCTTAGCTGAACATTAGTAGGGATACGGAATTTCCATAGTTGCTTGGCACCCAAAACAGTCCAGAGTGGCATGAGGCGCTTAGTAGCCCTCGAAGTTTCTCTTCACTTAACTTTCAGCATCAGCCGGAGGAAGTGATGAAAAAGGCGCGGAATGGACCAATAGGTTTGTTTGGAACAGAAGCAACCGATATAATGGTACAGCTTCTCAGCTTAAATAAGGCAAACCGACATATTTTCCGCAATAGTTTGATATCCACAGTTTCCCATCAGTGTTCTAACTCCAACTTAAGTTAAATTAACTTGGTCTTCTCTAGGGAACAAAGAAGTGCAAAAATAACGAGCTAGTAGTAGCTCGGATCAGAAAGGAATGTTTTCAATTCTCATTTAGTCAACTTTTTCAAATCCGAAGGATATTTTCGGTGAATATCACTGAAACGGACATACTTCTGCGGTTAGCTGTGCAAAGCGGCCTAAACATCTGTCGACTTGGAGTGCTGGATCTTTTTGAGATGCTTCATTCAGATTGCTTTTTTCTTGGATGTGGTTAGTTGGAGGTGCAGGAATACAGGGGATCGGGCGACTGGTACCGCAACCTGAGCAGTATTTAGCGCAGTCAGTTGCGTATTGCTTCCCGCATTCATGGCAATAAACAGCTGGTAGCGGCCATGGCGTCATTTTGTGATTCAACAAGGTGTTTTCTGGTTTCAAGTTAACATCATCCACGTCACTTTCATCTAATTCAATCGTCAAGTGGTATTCTCGTTTAAGATGTTCCGCCTGTCTTTCAAGATGAGGGCGATGAAGCATAGCTTTCGTCAGCGCCAGGGCTGTTGGGAATCCAGGTTGATACGTTTGAAGAACTTTTGAGCTAGTGTGGAAAAAGAAGTTAAGAAGAACGTGATTTTGCTGTTAATGACTAGTCTACACACCATATTGTACTTGATTAAGAGTATATAGACGCTAGTAACTCGAAAAGTTTTCCATACTGGGCAGTCAAAATTCAGAGCATTGGGGACTATTATTAGATTCTACATTTAACCTTGTCAGCTGGAAAACCTATTTGAGGTTGTTTGCCACTAAAGAACTATGGTTCAGATCACGCGTAGCCAGTGGGATCAGAGGAACAAGGAATGCACGAACATCCATCCCAAGTAAGTGCTTCTATATCTGAGTTGTTTGGATGTATTTTATTTGTTTCGTTCTGTCAAGTCTCTGCATGCAGGCGTTAGTTAATTGGATATGCTCAAATCACCATGGATGCACCCAACCTCCTACGGCTATACTATGCTCGAATTTTCAACGTGTCAACAGCATGTGTTAGATACCTGTCCCACCACCACAGACGGCCAGTGCTTACACGCTTCACTTGTTGTTCCTCAACCGTGTTGAGGGAGCTGCTATCGTTGATCACACAGTTCCCCTGGAGTTAACAACATGCCCTCGAAAACACTGCAGGTGTCGACTATAAAGATAGATGATAGACTGACCTAATTTTTCCAAAGATGTCTGTATGTACATCAGGTTCCTAGCGTGTGAAACTAGGGTATCATCTCCCTGATTTGCATAGTGGTAGCCATTCGGAGCTCGCCAACTATCGCTCAGTGATACTGCTCCCAGTACACTTGAAGGAGATGGCGTCGAGCAAAGCTAAGGAGCTAACAGGCCATTTATAAAGTTCTAATATCATAGCGCCAGAGCAACACGGCTTCCGTCAGTGTCGGTCATGTATTACCAATCTACTGATTACGTGAGGCAGCTGAACCGAACTAGCCGATAACGGGACTTGCACTGATGTCATCTATCTCGACTTTTCGAAAGTATTCGACCGCTTAGATCAGCGCATACTTCTCCAAAAGCTGCATACATACAGAACAGGGAACCCTGTTCTTGGATGGATCGAACATTTCCTTATTTAGCAGCGGCTTCAGGTTCGGGGCCTATTTTTGATCCTACTAATATAAACTGCGGTGTTCCATAAGGGGCAGTGTTAGGGTCGCGGTTTCTTTTGGTCTACATTAACGACCTTGCGCTTGTCATCGAGTCGAATTTCCCTCTTTTTGCCGATGACATCAACATATGGCGGGCGATCGATAATCAGAAGTACCTGATCTGCTGCACAGTGACTTAAACGGTGTTATTGAATGATCAAAGGCAAATCTATTTTCGTTCACCGCGGGCAAGTGCAGTACTGTGCATGTATACCGCAAGCCCATTAACTGATATCAGCTTAGAGGCCACCACTTGAAGACCACCTCATAGGTGTGCGACCTACGGGTATTGATGCAAGATGACCTCGCCTGTTCGGCTCAGTCATTGAGGTATCCAAAACACCGAACCAACATGCTTGTCGCTTATGGAACCCTTTCGGGCGGTTCGAGCATTCTATCTTCCCTCAGATGCCCAAGGCATGTGTAAGGCCCCTTGTAGAGTTCGAGACTCAGGCCTGGCAATTCTGGAAAAAAGCGATCTGGTTGCACAGAAGACCCCACAGCGAATGGCAACCAAAAAGGTCAAGGAATTATTGCATCAGCCATACCATCTGAGAATGAAAGCCATAGGAGTGTACATCGGAAGTTATCGCCGTCGACGGAGTGATCACATTTTTTCGTACCAGATCTTGAAAAAGTATGTCACGATTGCTGCCACTTCCTGAAGCGCAAAAACGAAGCGTCACCAACTGATACTGTCCACCAAATACAGTTGACTGAAATGCCGGTATTCTTTTTCTCTTTGGATTTGTCAGCCGTGTAAGGTACTCCTAACTTTGTCGTTCCGCGCCCATTTTAGAAGTGAATCGACGCAGCATTGCACAATTTGCGTTACTTGATTTGAATCTCTGCATCAAGTGATGAAGCACGGAGGCAAACATTGTGCTCACCAACCTCAAGGAAATCGGGATAAACGGTTTTACTACTGTGTTAACATGAATATTAAAGTGAGTTCACGGATGCGCGTTTCACTTTACTGTCACTTTTTTCCAACTTACGTAATTCATACAAGCAATGCCATGGCATCGGTCAAGCCTTGGCATTTTTCTCCGTATTATACCATTGTTCCATGTTTAATTAACGGTTAGAAGTTTTAGATTCACCTTTCACTAGCGGTCCTTTTCAAGACGCTTTATTCCACGTGCAGGACTGTTTTTTTACCTGGAATCGTCGAGATTATTACCCTCCGCCAACGTTCACTTTTCCTGTGAATAAAGCCAGTCAGTATCTAACCGTGACACTCTATATCGTTGGAAATACAGTTGCGGTATCCGCAGTATCAGGTCAGACTCACGTCAAACATTCTTTGAGATCCATTCAACAAGATTCTGGTATTGTGTAACTGATTCATCAGACACGCCTACCTTTTATTCTCGTGCATGTGTCCTGCTTTTTGTTTGAATGAGCCTTTACGTATCAGTCCATTTCCGGTAGTTAACTAGTTTATATAATAGTCCAAGATCTATACAAGCTACAGTAGGTTATCTAGTGCATTCACTCCTATCGTCGCTAGACAGTAAGAACAAACAAATTCACACGTGTGTGCTTCCTCGACTACTGTTACGCTTGCGGATAAGTCAACCGTAAATTACTGATGCAACAGTTACAGACGTCCGGTATTTAAACTACCCTAGTATACCTGATAAAGGATTACTTCATCAAACGCACCCAGGTCATCAGATTTGGTGGCGAAAGCCTATCATTTAGCACAGCATACACTGTCCTACAAAAAGCTTTTTTCCAGCATTCTTGTCCTCCACTTATATTATCTTTATACCTGGCACAGAAGAAACCATTCTGTTAAAATATGCAGACCACCTTATCATCGGCGTGAATCATCAGATCTCGACCACCTCAATAAATCTGCAAAATTGTCTGCATGGATTAGCACAATGATCCGCTGATTGACGATGAGCGCGTTCAAGTGCAAGGACATACTTTCCTCACTACATAGAGCAGCTGGTTACCAGGAACTTGTCACTGAATGTCTCAAACTTAGATTGAAGGTGACAGCTTGAGCTTCTGCACATCAATGAACTATCTTGGAGTTACACTGGGCCAGGATTTGTTGTGGTCACTCCAAGTGAATAAATATTCACGAAAGTCAGGTGACATTCTTTTAAAGTCGCTTGACTGCGATCATTCTGCGTACCATACAACGTGATTTTGGAGTTCATAACTGAATCACTCGTCTCACTGCAGTGGCATTCTAAAGACAATTGTATATCTACGCACTTTAATTCATGCTCTAGACTTGCTTCAAATATACTCTCCAACATTGGCCACCGTCTTCACACTGCGCTTTACAACTCTATTTCTACCTCCTCTACCAGACAAAAGCATAGAGCAATACATGCCCACATGAGAGCTTATGCTTCGTCTGCCATGCCCTATTTAGCCCAATTTTTGTCTGACCAAAATGCTATTCCTCATTATTTGGGCGGTAAATATGGTTCAGAGAGGTTTGCAAACAATCGGTTGGCACAGTAGTTTGGTAACATTCCGCCTTTGACTCAAAAGCTTCGTAAGACCAGGCAGTGCTTTACATTTTCCAGCAGTGAAACATAGGCTGTAATTAGACGCCTCCATCATTAAGCGGTCCAAAGCGCTCTGGACGGATTGTGGGGCGTCCCCCAGCAAAGCGATAGCATCGGCGTAGTCCAAGTCCGTGAATCCGTCTTCAAGACTTGGTAGATGCAGCCGCGGCCTGGACGAACTCCGGCTTGTTCTTCTTGGGAAATTGCCCCCTAGTCATTGAAAGCCTGCGAAGCAGGACCGACATGAAGATTTTGGATGCGACAGAGGTTAACGAGATTCCGCTGTAGTTGCAGAATCTTCGCGGAAGCCCTTCTTGTGAATCGGGACATTGCACGATTTTCCCCATGAGTTCGGAGCCTTTACTCAGCCCAAAATTTCGTGAAAAGCGATAAGATTTCCCTAACAAGTACACTCCCATCATCTTTGAATAGAGCCGGTGATAGTTTGTCGGGACCCAGAGCGTTGTGGCATTTCAAAGGGTGGATTGCATCTCTGATCTCTGCTTCATTTGGAGGGGCTGTGGAGACAGGCCAAGCATCATCCATTGAGGCTGGAGGTGTCACAGGGGGCTGTGTTTGGTGGTTGAACTGAAGAGCGAAATGCTCTGCCCAGCGACCCAATCGCCTGTGAAGTTTGGTGATCTTCGTGCTGTCTGACTCGCAAGTCGTCTGGCTGAGCGTGGGAATTGCAACCGGCGGCCCTGATGCTGCAAAATAGACGGCGGAATTTGCTGGCTGATGCAGCGGCTTCCATTTCATCAGCTTGTTTTGACCACCAAGATTCACGTTCAGAGCGAAGGCTTACTTTTAGCTGTTGCACATAATAGACCGGCGGTGTTCGTTGTACTCTGCGCCAGCAGGCATCGCCCGTCGGTGATCCAGCAATTCCGAGGATCTACTCGAGATCCAGTTTTTGGGAGTGGAGCGAGCGAGGCCACAGCTGGACAAACCGGCCGACAGCATGGCTTGTTGCAGACTTGACCAGTGTTGATCAACATCTAGAGAGTGAGAGCGAGCGAGAATTTTACGAAGCCTTTGTAGATACTCCTTCTTCACCATTGGCTCCTCCAACTTGTAGGTGTTCAGTCGGGTGTGTTTTGACATTGGCGAAACACTGAAACGCATGCAAACGACCGCACATACCAGTGCATGATCGTCATCGACGCACGTTTACCAAAATGCTCGGCAGTCGCGTACACTGCCGCGCCACCTGCGACTTATAGCTATGTGGTCAATCTGTGGCCAGCGTTGGGTTGCTGATGGGGGACGCCAAGTGGCGTACTGGCGTCCAGGATGGCTAAAGCTGGTGCTGGAGATTAAAGCTGATGATCAGTATGCAGAAT